ATTATTTACATTCATCCCAGTTAATCAGCTAGTGGTTGTAAAGCACTTGAAACATGGAAAGCACTCCTATAAATATTTGGTATTATCATATAATTACACTACCACAATCTCAGTTAAATGCACGACTGGGCATGCTCTAATCATGTAAGTGACGTGTTATCAGAAGTATTTCAAATATAGGTATCTTAGTCTATGCTGACCATCCTCAAGATTGGTATGTAAACCTGGATCAAAATAAACACTCTTGATTTTGGAAATACTGGAGAGCCACTGTCTGATCAGAATGAATGTCTCTTCCTCTAGAAGAGAAATATATTTTTCGCACAACCAAAAATATAGGTAATTTTTTACTTCTATTTGTTGCCTTGCATCTTGATGTCTTGCATCTTGAATACATGTTGTGGACAGCACAAGGACTAGCCTGCTTTTCTGTTAATTTTTTTTACTTTTCTACCTTCTCTCATTAATATAATGGAAAAAGAATATCTTTTCTCAGATTCACATTCTTCAAAATTATGCTTCATCAATGGTCTGTATACTGTGCTGTGTGATGCACTGAAATAAATTAAAACAATTAAATGATGAAGCATTCTCCACTTTCTCCAGAGGTTAAAAAAGACATTAAGCTTCAAATAACAATATATATGTTGCCATCTGATTATCAGTGGTATGTGAAGTATTGCTTCCCACTCCATTGTCTTAATTCTGAATAATAAGCTTGTTTAAATCATCACTGACAACTCAAGCAGTGGTCTGTCTTAAAAAAAAAAATTAAATAATAAGGTTTTGATATTTCTTTTTCTTAGTACATTTCATAGAATCACAGACTGACATAATGGTTTGGGTTGGAATGGAAGACCTTCCAGTTCCAGTTCCCTGCCATGGGCAGGGAGACCTTCCATTAGACCAGGTTGTTCAAAGCTCTGTCCAACCTAGCCCAGGGATGGGACATTCACAACTTCTCTGGGCAGCCTGTTCCAATGTCTCACCACCCTCCCAGTGACAAATTTCTTCCTTATATCTAATTTAAACCTACCCTCTTTCAGTTTGAAGCTGTTCCCCCTTGTCTTGTCACTACATACCCTTGTAAGAAGTCCCTCTCCAGTCTTCTTGTAGGCCACTTTTAGGTACTGGAAAGCCACAATAAGGTCTTTCTGGAGCCTTCTCTTCTCCAGTCTGAATACCTTAACTCTCTGAGCCTGTCTTCATAGAAAAGGTTTCATAGTCTTCCAGCTGCAAAATCTCTAAGAAACTCCGTTACGTCTAAGCTTTTCTCCACAAAGAGAAGAGCTATGAAATTGGGGGGGTTGGGGGAGGGAGGTTCGTTTGGGGTGAGTGGGGTGGTGGTTTTTTATTTGTTTTTACTCTTCTAGTGAAATAAGAAACTTTGATGGACTATCTTGATTTATCAGATGAAACAGTTACTTTACTAGATGGCAGTATTGTTACCACACTTTCTGTTCCTCCTTCTTTTCCTTTTTTGCCCGGTGCTCCAACTCAATTCTCCACTCCTTGTCATCTCTTTTCATGTCAATTAAATGCTCTTTGGGGACATGAATAGGCAGTGTTTGTATACTTGTAAAGCACTTGGAGAAGACTGTACTTGACTGGATGCAATCACAACCAAAATAATAACACTCAGATCTGCTGTTTTAGATTCATTGACATCAGTTTACCCCACAATAAACCTGAGATATTTTCCAGTGCAGAACTCTTTATCACTTTTTGCTATATCTTTCTGGAATAATTGTGTGTAAGACTCGTAACTTGAACTCACATAAAAATGTGAGTTTCCATCAAAACAATACCAGAAGACAAAAATATAAAACTAGGAACTACCTCTGAGTGTATCTTTATGTCATTTGCTGACAATAGGACTCCAGTGAGGGTGTCAAAAGTGAAATTACATAATGCATATATATATATAAAATAGAATGTGTCATTACTGCAGTGTTAAGCTATATTTGGAAGCCACTACAAGAAAGCACTTTCATTTTTTTTCTGCTTTCTATTTTATGATCAGAAAAAAAGTGTCTTTGATATATGAAGCATTTTATGAGACCATCTTTTTATTTTAATAACTGCTAATTTGCACACCTAACATCAGTTGCTGGTACAATTAATTGTGGATGCAAATCAGAATGTTTAGTTGTCTAATCACCTGATTGTGCCTATAAATCAGTGACAGTAATTACGTGTGTAAATGATCATTTCAGCCTGCAATTAATTTGACCGAAATTCAAAGGACAAAATAATACCACTCTAGGCTGAAATTTGGTCCCTAGCGTGTAAAAACAGAAAGTATCTTCTTCCTCTACCTCTTGTGTCTAAATTGCAGAGAGCTAAGTAGACAAAGAGCAATGATTCCCCAGTCCCCAATAACTCACTGCCAGTGTTTCACAATAAAGTGCAATGGGAGAGGAAATATTTCCATATGGGTTCATTAATCACAACATATTTGCCATGCACAACCACTCTGCAGAGCAGGTAAAGAACCCTGGGGGACCTTGCCTGGCACAGTATGTCATTTTTGTAATAGGAAAAGTATTTTTTTTACAAATGCTGTAGAACTGAGGTTGCAGATGGTTCCACTGGCAGAGCTAGAGCCTCCTGGCACAACCTTCAGCAACCAGAGCTACTTTAGGAATTTATAGCAAGGGTTAGTGAAAGCTCAAAAGAAGGATGCTGAAAATGCTGTCTGGCCCCACTATGCAGTATTCCAAGGTGTGCCCCTTGAAAGTGATATGTTAGGTAGGACAAACAAACCCCACCCAAAAAATAAACTGCAGAAGGCAATACAAGTCTTACCTGTCCCTGTTGCACTGCAAGACTTTAATGAGAGGTCTAGGAACAATTAAACTGATTGTGACTGAGTACCTGTGGGTCCAATGGACGCCATTTACAGAACTGTGCAGCAAAAGATGCCTTTCCAGCCCAGTGGCTTCTTTCAGATCTGGACAGCAGGCCATTTCACTTTACTTAAACCCAAGGACACCGGAGAGCCCCAGTTATCCCATCACACTTTGACCCATCCAGACCTGCTCAGTGTTTTGTGTGAGAGTTACAGCTGGTATCTTGTTCACTGTACTTCTGTGGTCTCAGTCTCTGAGCAGTTCATTGCTGCTTCACTCCACATGGGACTTTGATAAAATTCAAAGCCACCTGGTGTGATTTTAATTTAAATGTGAGTTTAATGTGTTTTCCTTTTATATTGCTATGATGTGCATTGTCAAGAGAAATGCTGCAGGCTCAGATCTGGTCTCTCAGCTGTTTCTCTATGCTAGTCCTGGTTTTGCTCGGTGAATACTTCTGAATAAAGCTGTCACTCTGCAGTAGCGTGTACATTGGGTACAAGAGTGCACAGGGTACAAGGGTTCACTGGGTATAAGCACAGTGTCATTCTTCAAGGGGGCAACTCAGTCTTGAGCTATTTGCCAATCAGAGGCCAAAAATCTCATCAGCAGAAAATACCTCCAGAGTTACAGATGAACAGAGTAGGGATGAATGTTTTCATGTAACCTATATAAAAGAGGTTTCCCAATTCACAATGCTCCACCAGTTATGAAAAGGCTTTTAAGACAGGAAATTGTGAAAAGAAGAAATATTGAAAGACTTTACCTTAACCAATTAAAAGAATTCTTATTGAAACTGGTTAAAATTTATTTAAATTGTTCTTATTATAAAATATAATCTCACTTTAAAAATACTATAAAAACATATTAAAAACATCATAAGAAAGTGCTGTCAGGACCAGGATATGAAAGATGCCTTGAGAAAAAGAGAAATAGAGATCCACATGAGTTAGCAACCCACCAGGGCACTCCAGTAGGATTCAGTGCACCCTGATGCAAGACAATACTTTAATCTTCAGGATTTTTCTTTAAGCAAGACTGGTTTTTTTTCAGCCAGTCTTAATTAGAATTGTAGGGACAAGGTGGGAGCCTAGACTTTCTGACACAGAATAACAGAGAGCAGGTCAGAATAAAAGAGCAGATCCAAGGTCACCTGGAGTGATTGCTGTGCTGCGATTCAGGTGTGTCACGGCAGACCACTGCAAACTACAAGGATCATGACAGGCACCACAGCAGCTGGGTAGCCTGGCCATCGGAAGACATCCCTTGTTTCCTAAGACCTTTTCACTTTCCAAAATCCTTTTCACTCATTGTTCCCGCACCAGCCAAAATCTGTGTTATGGGCTGGCTGCCATTTGTACTTCCCGTTGCTTGCACAGGTCACTAGTGCTGACATGTGCTTTCTGACTATTGCTTTATCTGCTGGTTACTACTCTGAGCAGCAACAGCCTGTTGGGTTCCTGGCTCCTGCTGCTTCTTACTGCTGCTGCTGTACAGGAGCTCCTGTAGTGAGTCATTTCTAATCACCAAGGGAACCCACAGCCAAATCTCCACTCCTCCTAAAATAAGAACTTGCAGCTACATCTTCTCTCTTCCTAAAATAATCAAACTATGAGAAAAAAACGCTATATATGTGGCAGTATCTGAAATATGGTGCTCAGTGCATTTGATGGGTGGAAAAGCAGGACAATGAGCTCAGCCACAGCAGGGCTCCAGACCATAGCAGGGCCCCACCACAGCTTTGCAGTGCATGTGGTCCTCAAAGTCCTCATAGAGCCACACAGAAAGGAGACTAGTTCTTTGCAGGTTCTGAGTAGAGACCATTAAAAGTCAGCTTTGTTCCCCTCCTTACTTCAAAAACTTCTGGGCAAGGCCGTGCAATCAAGATATCACCTTTTATATTTCAAATCAGAAAACTGGGTCCTTGAAACAAATACTATTTAACAAATAGTTAATGGCTTTATGAAGTCAAACCCTGTCTTCAGCTTAGTTTACTCTTATCGTATCAACATAATTGGAATACAACAATCCTTTTAAATAAATGTTCATTATTTTGAAGTACATTGAAAAAAGATATTATTTTCAAGCGGAAGTATAACCCGTAAAATATCACTCTGCATTTCTATAACCACTCTTTTTGATTTCTAGGTATTTTCACACAATGTACTTGGGTATCCGGAGTCGACAGAGTGGAGAGAATGACAGATGGCGGTTTTATTGGAAAATGGTGTATGAGTATGCAGATGTGAGTATGCTGCATTTGCTAGCCACGTTTCTGGAAAGTGCACCACAGCTGGTCCTGCAACTCTGTATTGTTGTACAGACTCGTACACTCCAGGCTCTCCAAGGTAGGGGTTCATTTAATCTGTTTGTTTTGGTTTTGGTTTTGGTTTTTTTTTTAAGATATAATTTCCACACATAAATATTTATCCTTCTTTCAAACTGCTGTGTGCCTTGTAGTCCTGGCATAAGAGCAGATCTTGCCTGCTAGCTGCTATTAAGCTGTTAACAATGATTTTGTCAAGAAAACCTGGGTTGTTAGAGGGTTTTTTAGCATTTCTTAATGGCTCTGGGTAGTGGGTAGGATTTATAATGTTTTGCTTCCTGCATGTCCTTGTAATAGAAGAGCTCTTCTGATTATCCACTGGGCCAATGTGAAAATTGCATCAATCAAGCTATTGCTCTTTTCCCTGTGCTTCTTTCCGTAAATGTTCAAAACCTTCCAAACGGCAGTAACGAGGTTCATATGGCATTATGCAAAACAGAAGATGGCACAGAAGATAACAGCTACTCTGTGAAGAAAATGCCAGTTTTTGTGTCCACCAGTTCTCTTGGTGTCTCGTGTCATCTCCTGAGCAGTGCTCGTTCCTTCACACTCTTGGTTTCCTTTTAAGGTGGATGCTTTCAGCAAGTGTGATTACTTCTTTAAAATGGTAAATGCATGCATATGCCCTGCCATACAGTTTTGTCAGGTGATACAGATATTAAAATATCTCATTCTCTTCTGCTTTTTTGATGCTACTTTTGGCTACCTGACAGCTGTTCTTTTGTATTGCCCCATTGTTTTGCCTTACGGCTGCACCTGGGCAGAAATTTTTAGCAAGCGAATGAAGTGAATGAGAACTTGGGATCCAGAAGGTGACAAAAAATACCATGAGGCAATGAGGAGTGAAGGGAGGCAGGGTGGAGAAGCAGAGGGACAGAGGGAGGAAGGAAATGCAGCTTTTTTGTCATTTGTTTTTAAGAAACAGTTTGTGTGCTTGCGCTGTACAAGATAAAAATGTGACAGCACCTTGGTCTGAAAAATTTTGGATTGGTTAGCTTATTATTAGCAACATTCATGTAGCCTTATTGGATGAAAAAGCACTGGGCACAAAGTGGGTAACTGTGTGAAGACCTTGATCCTCAGCAGTTTCCTGTGGATAAACCAGGGGCTTTTCCTTTACCTCCTCTTTGAACAGTCGTCTAATAAGGAGCTGTCCTTCTTACTGTGTTTTTGTTTCTTTAGATCTAAAATTCTGTCACCTTAAGGGGAAAAGAAAACCAAAGTTTCTCTTTTAATTAGCTGGTGCTCTGTATAAGGAAGTTTGCCTAAGCACTTCCTCCAGCTATTTCTCAAAATGATAACACCCCACACCAACCAATTCAAACTATTATCGTTCAGGAGAAGGTATTATCACTTCAAGAAGCTTTGTCTCACCAGAAAAAGTGATTCCAGAGAGAGACTTAGGAGAAAAACATAACCTGAACACTGTATGGTCAGATGTAATTTAGCTATCTTCATAAACTATTAATACAGACTGCCTCTCGCCCTCATTTTAGTGCAATAACAGATCTGCCTCTGAGAAATGTGGTTGGTGAGTACACACTAAGCCTGTGATGCACTCTGCAAGTGGTTGTTAATTAGAGAAGACCTGAAATGCTTCAATTTAAAAGGCAAAAATGGTTCCTGAATCCTGCAATCAGCTCTGTGAAATCCATGTATCAGAAACGAAAAAGGAATAAAACTATAATTATGAATTTCAGCTGAGAAGGTTGAAAATGTTTACTTATCCTCTCTTCCCCCATTTTCTTACATCTTCCAAGGAGAAAAGGCTCCATTTAAAGAAACTAAGAAAATTAAACATGGTTGTAGTATTTCCTTAAACAGTAGTACCATTATATTCTCCTGATGAAAACTGTGAAAATCCTTTCTCTGTTCTCTCTCCTTTTTTAAAGAAATATTAAGGATAATGCTTTGTACTATAGGATGGTGGATTTCCTGTGAGGCTGCATAAGGAGAGCATAATTTCTCTCAGTGGTATCATGCTATGACTGGGTGATTTAAAAGGTCCAGCCATATGGTATATGCTTCAGCTAGTTGTCCACTCACTGAGCCTGTTAGAGAGATTTCTAACATGGATCAGTAAACAGAGTGTTTGATTGATTTTATTTGTTTAGAGAATGCTACTTGTTTTTTATTATTGTTCTTTTAGTTCTCTGCCCTGCAGTATAAAGTTATTATGAGAATTGTTAAGTGACATCACTGGTCCATGTTCTTAAAAGTGTATGACTTTCACAAACCACAAATTTGTCATGGGAAATGAATTGCCTATAGCAGGGTATTTCTAATATCAAACCATTAATGACCGCAGGAAAAACTTTTAAGTATTTTATTTATGAAACTGTTTATTTTTCACTCCAAATGCACCAAAATAGCATCATTCCCAACAGGAGAATGGTGTCAGTGTGACTGAGGATTCCAAGTTTTGTAATGAGTGCTGGCTTGGTATGGATAATTTCTTATTTCAGTAACTAAGCCTTGCTAATCAAGGTAAGAAATACATACAGGCATGTGCAGTGTGTGCAAAACCTTCTTTCTCAATCTTCCATACACTGCAGTGAGGGTCACTTCAAAAGCTCAGAGGATGCACCACTGGGATCCTTTAGCACTTGCCTGATTTCCCCAAGCATGAATTAAAAAATTGCAGTGTAAACTTGTAGCAAAGGCTGAGTACCACTGTACTGTGATGCTGCAGTTTATGCAGGAGGCCATCAACAGTCATGATTGGCATCTCTCTTCTGTGTCGTCACAAGGACATACCTGAGTATTAATAGAAGAGTAGCTAAATTATTATCTAAAATTGGATTATTTTTTAAGATTTCACCAAAACTGGCACAAATAGAGGCCATGGTCTTTCTTATTCTGCCTGCAACCAGCAGCCACGTCCCACCTGAGTGGAAGGAAAGAAATTGCTTATGGGGGAAGCTGATGATTTCTCAGCACTAATTTCTCAAGAAGACAAACAACTTCAGTCTGATGCTGGACTAAACTGGAGCTGTGCTAATCCCCTATTACCTCCACCTTTTCCACTCTGGTGGTTCCTTTGAATTTGAAGAAATATCTGCTTTCTAGAAGACAGATGTGCCTTGAAATAAGTAATTCCTCAGTCTTTTCCTCATGGGAGTCTGTTTCTCCTGCCTTTGCTCTGAACACAGCACTACCACAGGAACTTCTCTGCTGAACCAGCAGCACTTTCAAACTGCATTGTCTTTTTCTCCTTTTGCCTTTTTTTTTTTCTTTTTCTTTTCCCTTAGTTACCCTGCAGGACAATCCTGCCTTAAGCAGCTTCATGGTGGCACTCACTAGCTTCACTGGTCCTATTCTGGGTGGGAAATGTGTGATGAATTGGGCAGCTCTGAATGTGGAGAGAGCAAAGGCAGAAAGCCCACTGAAACAACTGATGCTCAACTTGCATCTCTTTGCATAAGGGCATATGTGCAGTCAGAAGTGTCTGAACCACCTGCAGATGGCCTAGTTCTCCTGTCAGAAACAGGGTAACAGCAATAGCTTGGCAGCTGGGGTGGGCTCACTGACCTTAGTGCCAGCCTGAAGGTCACAGCCTCTGAAACTCCTTGGGGACCTGGGCCCTTTGCCCCATGGTTCTCATTCTGCTCCCAGGGCTGGGCAGCCAGATTCTGCACTGGCTCTACCTCCAGCTCACAGGGATTATCTCAATAAATTCAGAAGGCTGCAAGTAATTCCCTAAAAAAATACCTCCATCCCTCAAGCCATTTAGCAAATAATCAGTTGTTTCACAGTCTTTGCTATAAAAAGCTCTTTCACAATGAACTACCTCAGACTAAGCATTAGTCAAATTTGCTGACAAAATAACAGCAGTATAAAGGCTACAAGACTCTTCCTTGGTTGTATCTCTGGACGTCCAGCATAATGGTCACATCTCATTGCATTTGCTCAACTGGCTTGACAGGTCTTTGGGCTGACAAAGTGATAGACAGACCTGGACGAACAAGCTCACTTGATGGGGCTATTCCAGTTCCTGGAAGCCAACTTGCTGCAGGGTGCCCTTGAAAACCTCTAATTTAATCATGAAAAGTTCCCACCCAGGCTGCATGGTCTTGTCACATCACTGGCATTCCCATAGCTGAACACTGGGTCCCTCAGACACTTTCATTTTCCCCGTTGCTAATCTGGTTGAGGCTCAGCAGGATTCAGCTGTACTCCCCAAGACAGGCGGGTGTCACACATGGGTAGTGACAGACCTGGGGAGGCAAGGGGAACACGACATCAGCGTGGCTAAGGAAGGTCAGGGCACCTCATTTTGGAATCCTGTCCACAGGCGGGCAGTCATCCCTTGGCACTCTCCTTTTACTTACTTTGATTTTCCTACTATGCCATTTGATTTCAGAAAGACTTCTCATCTTAAGATGATTAAAAGCCAGCAAGCAAAAAATCCTGCTGACCATCTGATTGGAATGAGATGTCCATCTGTTAGCATAAGTTACTGTTGTCTTATTCAAGGGTAAAGTGTTCTAGCTACACCTAGATGAGCAGATAGACAAGATTTCTCCCTGGATTTACCACAGATTTCATTATTTTTACTGTGTTAATTAACACATTGTTTAAATTATAGATTAGCTTCTCGTCCCTGTTTATTGCATTGACAATTTTTTCCTCATCAGTCCCTGGGGAGTTTGTTCTGGCTTCTCCATACAGTGCTATTAATCAAAGTCTCTATCAAAGTTTAATCAAAGTCTAATCAAAGTTTATATCATATGAAGCTGCAGTTCGTAATGGGGACTGACAGTAGTGCAGAAGCAAAATGAGAAGTTCAGAACAGTTTATAAATTCATCAAGTTTCATTGAAGTCACCATACACCACAGACCTGCTGGATTCTGCTGAAAACGCATTTCCAGGAAAACTCTCTGACCACCAATTTTCCCATTTTCTACAAGCTCTGTTGGAAACTCCTACAGTGCTGACACTGCAGCCAGTGTACAAAAGTTCACAGTGCCACCAAGCATCATCCTCCAGTCCTACTCCAAACAAATTGCTGTTCCTGCCTG